GTGTGTGGTGTGTGTGTGTGTGTGTGTGTGTGTGGTGTGTGTGTGTGTGTGTGTGTGTGTGTGTGTGGTGTGTGTGTGTGTGTGGTGTGTGAGTGTGTGAGTGTGTGTGGTGTGTGCGCGTGTGTATCGCGGTACCTGTGTCGTCGAGATGCGCGCGCCGCTTGTTGTCGAGGTCTGCGGGGGGCTGCAGGGCGCCTCCCCGCACCGTCATAATCCACGGCTCGTCCGCCTCCAGCGAGCGACTGCTCTCCTCTCTGTAGGTATAAACGTACAAACCATTACGATGAAAAAAAAAGAATGTTTAACCCTTTCAATTACAAAAAAAGACTAAAGTAACGAATAGGTCTGAGCACGAATACTTTTAAATTGCGTATATGGAAGAACGAGCTCATAACCTACCTGATAATAAGTTATTACCCTACCAGCAGCAAAGTTAAACCTCATAGTCTTAAAGCCTCATAGTCAACAATAATATACATACGCCTATTGTAGGCCCAATGATGTAAGTACCGCCAGTTTGCCTATTACTACGGCGAATCAATTAGGCATTCCGGTTTTACTGGGACAGCCGTTATACAATACAAAGGTAACTTCACCGTCATGTCTTTTTTTTTTTGCTTATGTGGTTGCACGATCTCACGGCCCACCTGGTATTAAGCGGTTACTGAAGCCCATATACATCTACAAGTCTCAGTACAGTTACAGCAGCTGCTCCACCCTTCAAACCGAAACGCATTAGTGCTTCACGGCAGAAATAGACAGGGTGGTGTTACCTACGAGTGCGCACTCACAAGAGGTCCTACCACCATTAAAAAGGTATGTCTTAAGGTGTGTGACGTGTGATCACATTATGACACCTATGGGCTCCGGCATCCACTCAACTCCAGAATTTTTTTAAATCTATCACTTGAATCTTTTTCTCGTTAGATGTTATTCGAACCCATTCCAAAAAGGGCTCATAAGAATATAAATTGTCTATTAATATTCAAATTACTGTAAAACTATGTTTTTGGTATTTTATACCAACCGATACATAAATACACTTACGAATCTGAATTCTCCGATTCGGTTTCACTCTCTTCGCTCCGTTGTGCCTTCCACTTCTTATACCTATCTATAAGATCTATTAAATAAGAATTCTTCTTGGCCTTCCTAATGAACTGGAACTTCAATAACTCTTTCGCGGTCGGTCTCTGAAGCAAAAATTTACATAATATCATCCTTTATTAATTTCCTTGTGACTTTCACTAGAATCGATCGATTTATTTTGAACCTTAGATATTGAAATTAAATAAATAATAGTTTAAAAAACTAACAAAGTCCGCTTTTATAGAAAATCCAACTAAAAAATAGAAAATAAATTTTAATAAATTTAAATTAAAAATAGTGTAAGAAAAAATTATTTTATTGTAAAAATGGGTGCTTTTCAGAATATTATCAAAATAGCCCTTCTACTCATATCTGTTAAAAAAAAAAATTATAGCTACTGATACCATGCACCCCACGCTTTTTTTACAATAAATATTTTTTTTCTTACACTATTTTTAATTCAAATTTATTAATAAAAAAATCAATTTTTTGGTTTGATTTTCTATAAAAGCGTGTTTTGTTAGTTTTTTTAAGCTATTATTTATATATCATTTTTTTTGTTGAATTTCAATTACTATATTTTTCAATTTTTTTTTAAATATTAAATTGTCATCGGTCCTTAATAAGTATACCAAATTTCGACTTAATCCGACGTTTTGAAGGGGGTCAAAATCATGTTCAAAGATTCCGTTACAAACATACATACGTCTGAAGCTAATAAAAGCGTATTAAAAAAAGAAACAACTCACATTTTCCGGATCCTTATTCAAGCACGCCTCGACAAACTCTTTGAATGGCTTCGAATAACTGCCCGTTAACTGAGGCGGATTGTTCTTCGGTATTAAGAATAGGACCCTCATCGGATGTAGTTCCGAGTTGGGCGGCTCTCCTTTCGCTAGTTCGATGGCCGTGATGCCCAGCGACCAGATGTCCGCCTTGCTGTCGTAACACGATTGCTTGATGACCTCGGGGGCCATCCAGAAAGGCGTCCCGACAAATGTGTTGCGTTTGCTTGTCGTATTCGTCAATTGACCCGCCACACCTGTAACCAATTAGATAGAATCTTTACATTTTTATCTTACAGATGTAGTTAAGTTTATGTAGGTCTTGTCGTACATTAAAAATTAATTTATTTGAATAGTTACAATACTCTTCGCTTAATACAGTACTCTAAGTGTATGAGCAATATTATCAGTCATATTTTCCCGGCACATGGATATCTCGGTGTTAATTTGGTGAATGTCTATACACTATGTAGGTGTTTTGCATTTAAAGAAAATTAACAGTTCAGTATTTAATTGTACAGTATTTATAATTGTACAATTGTTCAGTATATTGATTGGTTGGAATTGATGTTTTTTCAATTTTTTTTATTGCCCTTGTAGGCAGACGAGTATACGGCCCACCTGATGGTGAGTGGTTACCGTCGCCCGTGGACTTCAGCGATGCCAGAGGCAGAGCCAAGCAGCTGCCTACCGCTTAATACTCTCCACAACGTTTGAAGAAGGACATGTCATAGCGCTCGGGAAACACCGTGGAGGGGAGCTCATTCCATAGCCGGATAGTATGTGGCATAAGGAAACGCATTGTAGAAATTCGAAATTCCATGTCAACTTTGTCGCATGATAGATAACATTTTACATTTTATGATCAAAACGACTTTACCGACAAGTCGTCGTCCGTGAACCACGACAAATGTAAGTATTCGAAACGTCTAAAATAATATAATAACAATTAAAAAACGTGCAATTAAACAGTAAAACTACTATTAATTACGTCTACGACTAGCGAGTACCCAAGAAAGTACTTCTTCTTCTTCTTCTTCTTCTTCCTAGCGTTTTCCCCATTTCGAGAAAGCGGCACGACGAGAACCCTCTCATCGTGGCCGCCAGACACTACATTCCCGATCCTGCGGACCGAATGGAAAGCAGTCGACGTCGCCCAAAACACGTCATTTCGGATCCTCCCGATCCACTAACGGTGCTTTTAAGTACTTCACGCACCGGTCATCGTTCTCGTCGAACCCGTCGCTTGCGACGAAGGGCTCGACGAGTAAATTGACCCACAGACACAGCTCATTGAGTTTTTCGCCGGATCTTCTGAGATAGATTCTGCGAAGCACGGCTCTTGCTAGGGTTCATGTTAGCAACGTCGTCAGGTTTCAACCCCGTGAGCTCACCTACATGTTAGGGCGAAGCTGAAATAGCCTCTTAAGGCTATCAGCATAGGTAGAAGAAAAAAAAAGCGTTTTCCCAGTCTAGTGCCGGGGTCCGCTTTCTTACTTAAGCTCCTCCATTTTGCCTAAAGAAAGTACCATTTTATATTTTTATTTTGGACTTTCCGCTCTAGCCACTAATTCCATTTTACGTATATTACAGTTTGCGAACTATGCGATGAAAAACGGACCTTTGTTTATAAAGTTCAATGACCATATTTCGTCATCAAGAAACACGGGAAACCACAGAACAGCGATTAGCTTTATTAAACTAAAGGTGGTTGCCGTTAAGCTACAAATCAACGCCTTTGTCCCCACGTGAGCTTCAAGATGACTCATCCCTTCTCATACTTTCGTGTGTTCAAAACAGAATTAGTAATCACACTTGAGGATTTGAAGCTAAAACGCATACACCGACGTCAAAGAACTTCCATTGTTTTAATAGGGTTGCACGATATATGTATCTATATAATTAATATGAAGATTAATTTAACCAAACCGTATAACTCGAAAACACTAATGTTAGCAGCAAATTTTGTTTAGGAGCAAGGAGAATTTGATTTAGGAGCACCGATGCCGGTAAAATTCATTTCGATTTCAAATGTCCGAACACGATCTAAAAATATGTGACAAACATTAGCTGTTTGGAGACTTGGAAAATTCTACAGTACACTTCTAAATTCAAAAGAGCGTCGCGCGTTTACTTTACCGCCTCACAAAGGCGCCTTGCGAACGCGTCTTCAAACATTGGCCCAACGCCAGGCCTTCTAAACCCGTAATGCGGGTTTAACTTGTAGCGAAACATCTTTTATCAGCAGAACCTATGCGCTGTCACGAGCCGCGAGACAAGGGTCCTTTAGTAAAATAAAAACAAGCAACATTCTCAACTTAAATCTTCTTCGTTCCTTTCAATCTCAAATATCGGTAGGTAGGTAGACTTCCAGCCAATAATCCAACCGCAACACATTTTTTTTTATTGCTTATATGGGTGGACGAGCTCACAGCCTACCTGGTGTTAAGTGGTTACTGGAGCCCATAAACATCTACAACGTAAATACGCCACGAACCTCGAGATATAAGTTGTAAGGTCTCAAGTATAGTTACAACGGCTGCCCCACCCTTCAAACCGAAACGCATTACTGCTTCACGGCAGAAATAGGCAGGTTGGTGGTATCTACCCGCGCACACTCTCAAGAGGTCCCATCACCAGTAATTACGCAAATTATAATTTTGCGGGTTTCATTTTTATTACACGATGTTATTCCTTCACCGTGGAAGTCAATCGTGTACATTTGTTGAGTACGTATTTAATTAGAAAAATTGGTACCCGCCTGAGATTCGAACACCGGTGCATCGCTCACACTTACAGCCAATAATCCAACCGCAACACATCGATTTAAAATTTGCACATTATATGTCCGTTTACGTACATTATTGCTTTCTTTCGTCATAGTCTGGTCTAATACAGGAAGATAAGATCGGAACGGTGATTTCGTGTTCAATCGCCACGGTCGGCTCGTTTTATGCCGGCGCGAGGAACGCCCGAACGACCATCCATCCGTTACGGTACCGTCCGATATTCGTATCGCAGAGCATCGCGCAATCAATAAGCGATAAAACTACAGCATTCATTGTGGTGAAACTCTGAGATAACATCTTCGCGTGCCGACATCGATTACTTAGCGGATTTCGAAATATGTCCAATGTTAAATATCACTATTTCGCTGTCTTCTCTTGCAGCGTCTATCTCGTTGTTATTGATATTAGATGCAATTAGTGTACGCACAGTGGACGAATTACGTCGTCGTGGCCTAAAGGATAAGGCGTCCGGTGCATTCGTATCTAGCGATGCACCGATGTTCGAATCCCGCAGGCGGGTACCAATTTTTCTAATAAAATACGTACTTAACAATTGTTCACGATTGACTTCCACGCCACTTCGATAAAGCGGCACGACACGAGAACCCTCTCATCGTGGCCGCCGGTAACTACATTCCCGATCCTGCGGACAGAATGGAAAGCAGTCGACGTCGCCCAAAACACGTCATCTCGGATCCTCCCGATCCACTAACGGTGCTTCTAGGTACTTCAAGCACCGGTCACCGTTCTCGTCGAACCCGTCGCTTGCGACGAAGGGCTCGACGAGTAAATTAACTCCCAGACACAGCCCACTGAGTTTCTCGCCGGATCTTCTCAGTGGGTCGCGTTTCCGATCCGGTGGTAGATTCTGCGAAGCACGGCTCTTGCTAGGGTTCGTGTTAGCAAC